AGTGAAGTGAGGGGCATTTCACAACAGCCTTGCTAAAATGGTAATGTCTCAAATATAGAATACTTTTGGGGCAGCTAGGTGGCGTAGTGGATAGAACACCAGCCCTGAAGTCAGGAGGACCTGAGTTCAAATCTGGCCGCAGACCAAACACTTGACACTTACTAGCTGTGTGACCCTGGGCAAGTCACTTAACCCTAATTGCCTAAAAACTAAAATAAATAAATAAATATATATATATATATATATATATATATATATATATATATATAATATATATATATATATATATACAGAGAGAGAGAGAGTACTTTTTTGTTTTGCAACAATTTTTCCCTACAATGATCCTGTAAGAATCAGTCACTCAACAAACATTTATCAAGTACCTCTTATGTGCCAGTCACTATGACAGGTTCTGGGGATACAAAGAAAGGTAAACAACAGCCCCAGTTCTTGACAAGTCTATACTCTAATGAAGACACAAGAATTATTATTCCCATTCTACACATTACAGTTAATGAAACTCTGAAGTGGAATTTGAACCTGGTACACTTGTACCTAAAACTGCTGTTCTTTCTACTCCCCCATTCTACTTCTCCTAAGGCATGGTAGTAGTGAAGGCTATGTCTGCCTCTATGTTGGCTTACAGTTAGCTTGATGTAAGGAAAATTTTCTATGAAATCAAGGAAACTATCCTAAACCCCAAACCAAATACAGAGGCATGGGAGTGGGGAGGAACAATAATGCCTGGGGGAAGATGTGGACAATGGCTCATGTACTTTACAGCTTTATATACATGAGCTTATTCATGAAATGAATTCATAAACATGATGTGACTATATACTAATGAATCCCATTTTTATAACATACTTAAGAAAAATCATCTCCTTATTTTATAGCCATACTTTGTGTATGTATCTAGGAATGACATTTACATGGTTCACTCTACCCTTTTTTAAGAATAATATCCACAGTCATTAGGATTCAGGTGATAATAATAGTAATATTAATAACACATAGAATTCATTTAGAGTTCTGTGATTTACAAAGTGTTTTACAGATATCTCATTTTATCCTCACAACAACCCTGTGCGGTCGATGCTATTACCACCTCCATTTTATAGATGATGAAACAGAACTGCTAAGTGTCTGTGATCAGATTTGAGGCACAGGTAAGTTAAGTGACTTGCTAGTGGTTACTGCTTAATCTAAGAGGGAGAAATGAGACTCAAATCAATCCAAGTCCAAAAGACCAAATGCCTACATTATACCATGACTAGTATAGTTATGCACACTAAATTCCAGCATTAACCTAAGTTTCATCATTCATATATCAAATATTTAAGGAAGAATAGATTGAACAAAAGAGAAAAGAAAAAAGAATGAGAGGAGAACCAATAAAGCATAAAAGAAGAAGAGCTATCAGAAGAGATAGAAAGACATGGAGAAGAAGGATAAGGGGAAAGATTTAGAGAAAATGAATATAAATACATCCTCTGCTATGCTAATGTCTCTATTTTTTAAGCCTCATTGATTGTCACTGATGTATAATAATTAAATATAGACTGGATGTGAGATTAATTATACCTACAAAAGCTAAATACATATGAATTTTTATGGTTCCCTGGAAGGTTAAGGTCACAAAATTCCCATAGTATTTCATGGGTTCAATGCCTGTGCATACTAATGACTCAAATTTAATGAAACTTATTAGGATTACATGTGTTTGACAGCCAAAAGGGATCACAGATTTAGATTTGAGATTGGAATTTCAAAAAGAGGTCATTTAATCTAACTTCTTCATTTGAAGTTAAGGTAAAGTTCTGCTGGTATATGTTTAACAAGCAGCTCTCCAGAAAATATTTAAGAAGGAACCCAACATGCTTTTTTCCCCTTTTTTGTGGAGCAGTTGGGGGTAAGTGACTTGCCCAGGTCACACAGCTAGTAAGTGTCAAGTGTCTGAGACCTTTGAACTCAAGGTCTCCTGACTCTAAGGCTGGAGCTCTCTATCCACTGTGCCACCTAGCTGTCCCCCCAACACACTTTTAATAATGTATTCTTTACATTTTTTCCACCACTTTCTTAAGTCTAGACAATCAACAAAAACAATAAATCAAGCCCTGATTTACAATCTGCTAATTTCAAAGGTGTAAATTCTCACACTGAAAATTATATGAGCATTTACAAACCATCAGTTTGAGAGCCTGCTTGAGCACCTGATATTAAGGCCAAATAAACTACTAGCTCAAAGTCAAATAAGTAATATGTAGAAAGAGTTGCATTTGAACCTAAGTCTCCTTACCTCAAACCCAGAGCTATTTCTTTTGTGAAAAACCATATCTCATTCATTCATTCATTCATTTATTGGTAATACACCTTTTCTTAAGTGGGACTATTTTCAGTTATTAGCTTGAGTGTCATTCAGCTTATAGAGCTATGACATAAATTTTCTTTTGATATACATATATATTTTCTTCAAAGTTTCATAATGGAAGAATCAAGCAAAACAAGGTTTTTAAGAATATTAAGACAGTTGCCTTTGAAATAAAGTCATATAGTCTCTCAATAACAGGCAAAAGATTTGGGTCCTCCCAGTACAAAATGTTCAGCTTTCTATTTGGGCAGCTAGGTGGAACAGTGGATAAACTGCCAGGCCTGGAGTCAGGAAGACTTATTTGCTTAACTTCTAATCTGGCCTTAGACTTACTAGCTGGGTGACCCTGGGCAAGTCCCTTCACCCTGTTTGCCTCAGTTTCTTTATCTCTAAAAAAAAAAAAGAGTTGGAGAAGGAAATGGCAAAACACTCCAGTATCTTTCCCAAAAAAACCCCAAACTGGGTCACAAAGAGTCAGACACAGCTGAAAAATAATATGTGGAACAGTTACTATTTTGGACATAGCAGAGTTGATCAATTCTATCATTTGTACATTTTCTGTCCATTCAAACACACGTGTTTTATGTATACATACATATTATATATGTGTGTGTTTGTATATATATATATATATATATATATTATATATGTGTATATATATATATACATATTATATATGTGTGTGTTTGTATATATATATATATACATATATACATATATACATACACACATATATATAAGAGAGATGTATACACAGATATGTACATACATGTGTGTGTTCTTGTGTTATTTTTTCCCCCAGTAGGAAGGTGATTTAATTGGTGTGGGGAATTGCTATTATGGAAATCCCCTGTACAAGTGTACGCTAGTAAGTCATCTATTACTTATAGACTTGCTTAAAACTCTAAAATGTTTCTTGACTTGCTTTTGGTTCGAAGGTTCCAAGACAGCATTTGAACTCATATCTTTTATATTTCACGTATCTTTGTGCATGTATGTATAAATACATTTATGTTTCTTTTACACATATGCTGTGCGTGGTTGTATTTTCCTATACTAAAAGGGACAAAATCTGAAGTTTATTATTTAAGTGAAATCCAGTCTTTTAAATCTGTTGTCTAAGTAAAATTAACATGAAGACAGTGTTTATCATTTATTTTAAAATGGAAAGTACAGAAAAATGTTAATTCAATTTTTGTTAGCCTTGTATAAAAATTACTTTTGTTCTTTCTATATTTGTGTTATATACACCTATATATCAATGCAGATATAATGTGAATACTCAGTACAATAAGAATTTTTAGTTAATATACTGCTTTTGCAACATCCTAAAGCTTCAAATAAAATTCTTTAAAAAACCATTGATTTATTTGGATTTAGAACAGTGAAATATGTGATTAAAATGCTTAACTACATGTGTGTTTCTGTGTATGTGTGTGTGTGTGTCTGTGTATGTGTGTGTGTGTGTGTGTGTGTGTGTGTGTGAAAAGTGAAGTCTTGGAAAGTCAAACTTTTATAAGATGTCGGAATTCCAAATATTTGAATATATCCAAGCATATAAGCATAAATATAAATATTTATGTATACATGTACCTATCTAGATATTTAGATGTGATTATGTACTCTGATGGAGGGAATATCCTCATTGTTGAGGTCATATATCCAATAAAATAATTGAAGAATATGCACAGCTGTGCATATAGGCAGATTTATTTTATGTATGCATCTATAGTTTCATTTATAGAATTGTATTCATTGATGTTTCAGATTTTCCATATGTTTGGTAAATTCTGCAAACTAGTTAGAGCTATTTTAGTTAACACATAGAGACATAGACACAAGCACACACATATATATATATTTGTGTATAAATTACATACACACATACAGACAGACAGAGAGACATCTTTCCAGTCACACTTCCTAAATATTTGCTTGTGGCTAAGCCATTCAAAATCAAAGAAAATTCAAGATCAAAGAAAATCAAAGAAAATTTCCAGAACTATAAATTCACTTTCAGGAGTTTTGCAGACACAGGTGTACTTGAAGGCAAAAGCCCTATCTATAACTCTGACCATGTCTAACTTCCTGCATAACTGATCCAGTTGTCATGATTGCTATCAACCATGAAGACCAGTTGAGGCTAACTATGTTGATTGGGTCTCCTGAGCTGTTCACTGAATATATTAAAAACAGTACTGCAAGACTATCCTACAAAGGTGATCTACCTTAGCCATAAGTAAGGGTATGACTATGACAGATGACATTTTATGAATTCAATTGCTATTCTTTGTTTCTTTCCTTCCTTATATGTAAATATTATACATTTGTACTCTTTGAGTTCTTATTGGCAGCCAGTATCCTGGCCCTTATAATTATCTTTAGCATTTCCAGAACTGAAAATTAGTAAAACATTTGAAATCTAAATGTCAACCATGAAAGAAAAACAATAAATGTTTGAATTTAAAATTTAAAATACACACACACACACACACACACACACACACACACACACACACACATATATATATATATATATATATATATATATATATATATATATATATAATATACCCAATTATAAATGGCTTCTTAAATTTGTAAAATTTTTAAAAAGTTTGTTGCTTACCAAAATATCTTTTCCAGCCCACTTGCACTCGTCCCTTCGTGTATGAGAAACTGGCCAAGAAATCTAAAAGTAGAGAATAAAGATTACTCTGGAGCTGCTTAGAGGGAAGGTTCATTTAAGATTATGACTACAATTGCTCTAGTTCAAGCTAGTGTAGCCAAGATAAGAACAGAATCAAAAGCAGATCTCATGGATAGAATTATCCCCTTTTTCAGTGTTTCAAATTCCTATCAAGATATGTCCATTAATTTAATTCAGATTTAGCTTAAACTTTTGTTTTTTTTTTTTTAGGAAAAGTGAACAACATGGATATAGAAGTTTTAAAGGCATGCAAACATTACTGTTACACTTAATTATACAATTTCTTCTCCTTTCCTCGGAACTTCAGACATTTGAAATTGCTTGCCTTTCAATATATATGAGAAATTTGATCACTTTGTCCTTTATTTTATTCACAATTACCGTTCAGTTAAAAATTATTATTTAGCGTGTAAGGACCTCATTCTTCATTTAGTCAAGTCACTTTACCACTTTGTGCCTCAGTTTCACTATCTGTGAAATGAGAGGCCAGAACCAAACGCTAAATCTATATTATATAATCACTGAACTATCTATTATTTTAGCTTCAATAATTCAAGATTTTACAACATTTTTCATAACGAATAATCCATTTACTAGCATAGGTCACAACCTCCTTATAACTCGGCAGATAGTCTCAGGGTTTTTCAGACCAAAAGATATCACGGTGCAGTCAACCCGATGAATCACTATGAAATGATCTAAACTGATGTTCCGAGCACTTTTGTATTCAATGTTGAAAACAGAAAGTATCAGAATATCATCCCAATCACCAAAGAGCAAGAAAATACCAAAAATCTTATTGTTAATTTAGACTACTTTGCGAGATTTTCCATTTTATGTGCAATTTGTGACTTTAACAAAATTTCAGAAGTGGAAGAAATGAGGTGTGAATAAGGTGCTTGGAAACAAGCAACTCTATGTCTACTCTAATTCTGCCGTAGCCTTTTTTTAAAAATTTATTTATTTATATATATATATTTTTTTTATTTTTAGGCAGTTGAGTTTAAGTGACTTGCCCAGGGTCACACAGCTAGTAAGTGTCAAGTGTTTGGTCTGAGGTCGGATTTGAAACTCATGTCCTCCTGACTTCAGGGCCAGTGCTCTATCCACTGTGCCACCTAGCTGCCCCAGTTCTGCTGTAGCTTTGACCAAATTATTTGTTTATGTTAGATTTTCCTCACTGCCACTAGCCTAATATTAGAAGAAATACCTACATAGTCACTACAAAGAAAAAATCATGATTTAACCAATTGTCTAGTGAAATCAGGACAGTCCAAAAGTTAATCTGATTATTCAAAGACAGGCACAAATACACCAAATTGCAAAGCAATTATGCCAACATGTTGTTGAATGTTTTCAACGTAGGAGATCATGAGACAAGTATAAAGAATCTTTGGCATAAGTTATAGGACCAGGCCCATTCCTGCATTGGTATAGGTTGCTATCAGGTAAGAAAAACTCCTTTTACTAATGCAGATCAGAAATTTTCTGGAATTTATAGTCCTAGAAAGTTTCCGAGAGCAAGGAGAAGTTAAATGACTTGTCCAGGGTCAAATAGTATACAGTAGAAGAAGAATATGAGTTTAGGTCTTTTGGGTTTCAAGTTTGACTATCATCCACTGTGAGACATGGCCTCTCGGGACTAAAGTCAATTTATATGAAAGTATTATTTATGGTTCCAAATGATGAAAAAATAAAGGATTTAAGAAGATGATAGGCAAATATTAATGAAAGTCCTACTAGTTAAACCTCACATTCCTAGATTTGGTAAAATACAATCTAGAATGTTCATGTTACAAAGATTAAGTTTACATTTTCCCCTCAAATTATAGGTTGCTATCCTGTTCCTTAGTTTATTCTAAAATCCTACTTCTAATTATATCTTATTTTGCTTTTGAAGTATTTTCAGTTGAATGTTACAGTCATAACCCAATATTATGATCAATTTTATTACATTATCTGGCATTTTTAAATGAATCATAGCCAGGCTTTATGTGATGGCCACATTTCATTCTTTTTTAATACCTAAAAGCTTTTCAACAGACAGAAATAATTGGTTCCCATGATCCCTATAATTTTTTTCTGTATTTTTTACTGAAATTAGGTAGAATAACTAGAGTAACAGTAGTCATACAAAAAAGTAATGCTTTACTCTCATATAGATAAGAGTGTTTTCAATAGCTCAGTTAATTTACATAATCTGTACATTAAACTGTGTGACCATGACAGCAACTAGTTTGATGCCATTAAAGAGATTAAATCTGTAACACTCTAGCCCACCAGCAAAAAAAATTTCCACAAATCTGCCACCTATTGGTTATACTACCATTCTCAAAATAGGGGACATATGGGGCCTTTTTTCTGAAACCATAGAATGTCAGAATTGGGGCTGTGGGAGTAGACATCAGGGGTCATATCAAACCCATTCTTTTTTGTTTGTTTGCTTGTTTAAGAATAAAACTGAGGCCCAGAGAGGTTTAATGAAGATAATAACAGAAAGGGGACCTTGAATCACAGATTATGCAGCCTCTATACTGCTGTCGTTGGTATCATTTAGTCATTTCAGTTGTGTCCAACTCTTTGTGACCTCATTTGGGGGTTTTCTTGGCAAAGATACTAGAGTAGTTTGTCATTTCTTTCTCCAGCTCATTTTACAGATGAAGAAACTGAGGCTAACAGGGTGAAGTGACTTGCCCTGAGTCACACAGCTAGTGATTGTCTGAGGCTGGATTTGAAGTCAGTTATTTACAACCTCTGTAGTACTGCCTTCCAATCACCTCGGAGAGCTGTAGTTTACTGCAAAACACCTATATTCAGCTTCCCTTTCATTTTGCCCTTCCATATTCCTTGCTCTCTTTGAGAACATATGGTAAACATTCTGGCTACTTACTTTCTCCTAATCAATAGTTCGGTTCTCTAAAGAATCTACCATCTCCAAGTAATGGACAAGTACTCAGGACAGGGCTAGAGAGATGGAGCTGGGTTATCTCCCATTTAAAACTTTCAAATTCGTAATCATTAATGGAGAAAGTGGTAGCCAAGATTAAGAATGACATGAATGAATATGAACTTCCATACTGTATTCTCTATTCCTACATCTTTTTCCCCCAACATTTCCAACTTCCTCTGACCTACCATAAGCATCTTATCATGCCCTCTCATCCCAGCATTCTATCACCTCTTTTCCTACCTCCCTTTCTATAAACACCCAGCAAAATGTGAGTGAATTAGAAGAACATACTGTAATGAAATCAAATATTTAAAACCTGACCCTCAGTCAATGGCGTTGCCTTGAAAATATACATAAATATGAATTTATGACACAAGCAATTTCAAATTTCTAGAGTTCTTGAGGGGCGGGGGTGGAACTAAGATGTAATGATTTAAGTGCATCATGAATGTTTCCATGAATTTATAATAGTTATCCTGCATAGCCATGCTGTTCAATTTTTCAGGTGTTACAGGATCATAGATTTCAAGTCGGAAAGGACTTTAGAAGAGATCATCTTATCCAATTCTCAAACCCTTCTGGGATTTTTGTTCTTTTGACAAGGCTAGTTGTCTGATAAATCTTTGCTTGTTTTAATAGCAACTGAAGTGGTAAATGAACTTGGTTAAACTCTTTGGATGAAATGTGTATAATTTTTTTGCAAGTTAAAAAAAAACTTCCTAAATTAAGTTTGTAAATATTTTTCTTTCACTCTTTTTGCCACCAAGTCACTATTTCCACTTCCTCATTTCTTTCAAACTCTTTAATCCTCTTTAACCCTCCTGCTTTCTAATACAACTAAAACAACAATCTTGACTAAAAGCATTGAAATCTGGATAGAGGGTTAGATTTTGAGTCAGGGATACTTGGGCTCAAACCTTGCCTCTGAAAGATACTTGTGGAGCGATGCTAGGAAGGTCCTTTTGATGGGTATGGCCCCAAGCCAAGACCTTTGCTCCTTACCCAAAAAAGAATTTGGGTCCTATTTGTCTAAGGGATTTCCTTGAATTCTCCCACTTGATCAAGGAGGTTTCTGGTTTTCCCAAAGCTATAATCCTATCAGCTGGCCTTTCATTGGCCTATCTCCCAATTCTCTGTTACTCTTAACCTAGCCTCACCCTCCATTGTCTATTACCTCCTGATGGCCCCTGGCTACTTTTCACCCTTGACTCTATCTAGACCCCATTTTTGACTTCCCAGTCACCCCATCAAGATCCTTCCTAGATCCTTCCCATAGTCTTTCTGTATATAAAGTCCTTCTTTACTAAGGTGCTCAAATTCCTTAAGAGCCTAGCCAATAGCTCACAATGTTCAGATTCCTTAAGAGTCTGGCCAATATTGCAGATCTTTCATAAATCTTGTTTCTGGCTAAAAGAAGGCTTGGGTCAAATTCTTTTGGACAAGACCTGCATCTCTTGCTCTCAACATTTTGGGGTCCCAACACCCCTAAACATGTAGCCCTCAACATTTTAACTTCTCAGGTCCTCAGTTCCTGATTTATAAAATTATAGTTTGGGTTAACTGACCTCTGAGGCCCTTTCCAATTCTAACTCCAAGTTCCTACAAACCCATGGGAATTGACAAGATATTAGATAGATAGATAGGTAGATAGATAGATAGATAGATAGATAGTTAGATAGACAGACAGACAGACAGACAGACAGACAGACAGACAGACAGACAGACAGACAGATAGATAGATAGATAGATAGATAGATAGATAGATAGATAGATAGATAGATAGAGAAACAAGAGGACACAGCACAGAATTGTGCGGTTCACCTATGTTGAAGGGTCAGGATAGTGATGGTAATCCAGCTAAGACAAGGAGTAATTATGTTATTTCTCCGTCTTCATCCTCTAGTTTTTCTAATCCATTTTACATACTACTCTCAGATTAAACTCCCTAAATCACATGTTAATTTTTTTTCACTCTCTCCCCATTATTTCCAAAAAAAATGTCCACTTTCCTTAGGCTGTCATTCAAGCCCCT